TTGGGGAGGCCTCTTGGAGGCCTCCTGGGGCGACTTGGAGGCCTCGCGGGCCATCTGGAGGCTATCTTGGGCATCTAGGAGCAATCTTGTGACGCCTCGGGGCTCTCTTGGACCATCTCGATGGCTTCTTGGGGGTCTCCTGGCCCTTCTTGGGGCTCTCTGGGAGGCCCCGAGGGCGGCGCCCAGGAGCCAAACCATCTCTGGCGGGACCTGGCCGAGGACCCGCCCGGGGTTCTTTTCGTCCGGGGATCCACAAAGGCCGTCCCGCGCGCGGGAGCATAACTCTATATACATATAGATGGATGGATAGATGGATGGATGGATGAGTGGGTGTATATATATATATATATATGAGCTACAGTCTACCTGTTAAAAGGTCTTAGCACGCATCTGGCCCGTTGGGCCGGCGAATGAATAAACACCTCCTCCCCCAGGAGACCGGCAGCCAACACGGATCAACGTAGGCACCCCATCCACCATCACTTGAATAAAAACACTACACAATACACTTTGCCTCCAAATCTGGAGCATGCGCGGGCACCCCGCGACCATTTTGCATTATTTTTCTTCATGCGCACTCATCTGGCCGACCTGAGCCTAGCACGCAAGAACATAACATGGCGCGAACATCGGAGCGTCAGAGGTGACCACATGTGAGCCACCAACCAGAAATGCGCTGCTGCTGTAAAGGACCGACTGGACATGCTGTGCCGGCACACGCAGCGCAACGGCTCCGTCGCACAGCTCGCGACTCGAGGTGACGCGGCCGGGACAGGAACGACACCCTGGCGGCCAAAGTGCGAGAGCCTCCGGAGGACAAGAGGCGAGCGGCGCCACCGAGAAAAGGGCCACCCGCGCCGCCAATACGTACCAGTGAAACCCCCCAGACCGCGCAAGGGCTTTGCACTTGTGGGCCTCCGTGGGGGCTCGGGAGGAGGAGGAGGAGGAGGAGGAGGAGGAGGAGGTGGAGGAGAAGGAGGAGAGGAGGAGGAGGAGGAGGAGGGGGAGGTGGAGGAGGAGAGGAGGAGGAGGAGGAGGAGGAGGAGGGGAGGAGGCGGGGGGAGGGGAGGAGGAGGAGGAGGAGGAGGAGGGAGGAGGAGGAGGAGGAGGAGAGGAGGAGGAGGAGGAGAGGAGGAGAGAGGAGGGGAGGAGGAGGAGGAGGGGAGGAGGAGGAGGAGGAGGGGGAGGGGGAGGGGGAGGAGGAGGAGGAGAGGAGGAGGAGGTGGAGGAGGAGGAGGGAGGAGGAGGAGAGAGGAGGAGGAGGAGGACGAGACGAGGACGGGACGAGGAGGAGGAGGAGGAGGAGGAGGAGGAGGAGGAGAGGAGGAGGAGGGGGGAGGGGGAGGGGGAGGGGAAGGAGGAGAGGAGGAGGAGAGGAGGAGGAGGAGGAGGAGGAGGAGGAGAGGAGAGGGAGGAGGAGGAGGAGGAAGGAGGAGGAGGAGAGGAGGAGGAGGAGGAGGAGGAGGAGGTGGAGAGGAGGAGGAGGAGGAGGAGGAGGAGGAAGGAGGAAGGAGGAGAGGAGGAGGAGGAGGAGGAGGAGGAGGAGGAGGGAGGAGGAGGAGGAGGAGGAGGGAGGAGAGGAGGAGGAGGAGGAGGAGGAGAGGAGGAGGAGAGGAGGGGAGGAGGAGGAGGAGGAGGAGGAGGAGGGGGAGGAGGAGGAGGAGGAGGAGGAGGAGGAGGAGGAGGAGGAAGGAGAGGAGGAGGAGGAGGAGGAGGAGGAGGCGGAGGAGGAGGAGGAGGAGGAGGGGAGGGGAGGGGGAGGGGGAGGGGAGGAGGGGGAGGGGAAGAAGAAGAAACACTCCGTGGGGGCCAAGTTCGTCCATTAGCTAGACAGTCAGAGGCCCAGAGGCTATCCTCAGATTGAGAATCCAAAACGCCTGGGGACGCTGGCCCAAAAGCTGCACCGAAATCTGGTGCACTGCCCGAGGCACTAAACCCGAGCACGAGTTACCCGAGTCTAGGCCAGCGGACTCCGCTGCACAACTTCCCTCTACGTACCATTGCTAGGACATGCCTGCTCCTACTCAGCGCTTGCCAACGTGCGGTGCCTTCCTCTACACCTAAAGCCCTCAGATATCGTGCTACCTCTAGTCCTCCCTCTGGTGCATCTCCTCCGTGTCTCATCACATACCTGCGTACCTCAGTACTCTCTGAAATCGGGGCGCCTCTGGTCATTGTTTCCAAAAAGGGCGGGTTCGAAACACTCCTCATTGGCATCTGTGATCCCCTCGTCCCAGAAGAGGCCCTCAAGGGCGAAACCCTCCTCATTGGCATCTGTGATCCCGACGTCCCCAAGGAAACCGTCCTCATTGGCATCTGTGATCCCGTGGACCCCGAAGAAATCCTCAAAGGCGAAACCCTCCTCATTGGCATCTGTGATCCCGTCGACCCAGAAGAATTCCGCATTGGCGAAACCCTCCTCATTGGCATCTGCGACCCCGTGGACCCCGAAGACACCCTCCAAGGCGACGCCGTTCTCATTGGCATATGTGATCCTGAGCGGCCCCGAACGTGGCCTTCCAGGGGGTCGACGATCTTCTCTGAAGACACTCTCAGAGGTGGACTCCTCCCCCTCGTCGGACTCCTCTCAGCGTCCAACTGCACTGCCTGCGGCTGGCGGTCCTGCACAATCAGTCGGGGACTGTGGGCCGGCTCAGCCGCTGACGATCTTCCCACCTGTGGTGTGGTCATCCTCGAATCCCCCACCGCCGTCACTTGACTTGTGTCAATCTCAAGCGTAATCGATTCAAGATGATCCGAAAGTGTAGTAGTCCGTCGCGCAGTCTCGGCTACTGCAGGAACACCTCCAGCCACTCCTGCAACTCGCGCTCCATGTGGCTCGCCGGCGCTCTGCCCGATTTCAGCTCCGCGCCCAGCTGCTGGAGGGCGCCGATCACCTCCTTGCGGCCCTCCTGAAGGCACAGCGTGATCCTGCGCTTGCCCTGGTCGTAGCACCTGTCTACCTTGGTGAAGCGGATGATGTCCATCTTTTCTTCGTAATCGGGCGACTGGAGCCGAGCCTTGAACTCGGTCAGCTTCTCGAAGTTCACTTTGCCAATGCTCTGTTGGCGCAGCAGCAGCGCCTCCAGCAGGCCCCCGAACACGAACAAGTGGGGCGCGCCGAGCCCGCGGTCCTTGCCCTTGGCCTGGACCTGGGCGCTGTAGGCCGAGCCCTGCCCCTGCATCTTCAGCACCTCGGGGAGCTCGGCTGGGACAATTAGCACGTCGAACACTCCCTCGATATTCCGACGGCTCTGAGCGAGCGAGAGCAGCATTTTCATCATCAGCACGTACAGTCCTTTGCTGTGGCCGTTGATGCCTGCGGCGGTCTTCTGGGCAGTCTGGCCGCCGTTCCCCTCGTCGCGGCGTCTGACCGCTCGCTGAAACTCGGGCCCCTTCTTGCTGTCGGTGCCGCTCGCCAGCACCAGCGCCATGACTAGGCGCGCCCGCTCGTTCGGTGCGCTGCCCCCTACGCACGCGAGGCTGAACCACAAGAGGAGGTGGAGGGAGGTGACATTCCACAGCGTGATCATGGTACTCAGCAAGTGTGTCGAAGTCAGACTCACACATTGGGCACTGCAGAGACTTAGGTATAATTAGATCCCAATCGAAGGCGGCGCGGTTAAGTCTAGATCTGTTGGTCAACCATGCGGTACGAACGTGTTGACGAGCTCTATCTTTAGACGAGAACGAGGTACGACACCAAGGACACACATTTGTCAAGACGGTCGAGAACAAAGGGTTCAACTTACCATGTTCGCCTCCCACAGATCTGGATTGATGAGCTAGTAGGCCTCCTCGTGACTCAAACTCCTGTAGGCACATGTTCCCCTGGGAGTCCCTCAGGTTACATATATAGGTCGTGGGCTCCTCATTGTCCCCCTCCTGTTCGAAGGCCCTCGCGGGGCCCCTAAGACGGCTCCGAAATAGCGCTTCCCCCTCCTTCAAAAGTGAGGCCTTCAAGATCTTGGGATCAACTGTCAGCCACACCTCCCGAAATTCTTCTTCCAGGAATAAAGCCTTCCAAGAGAAATCCCATCGTTCCCAGGCCTCGAAGAAGTCCTCGGCACCGCTAATACCAGCAAACGCCCAGAAGTCCCGCTCTATATGAAAAGCCAGTGGGGGTGCGCACGTGCGAAGGTGCCCGTCATCATCGAGAGAGGGAGGTCTGTTTTCGAGATGCCCCCAAATCGAGGCGATCACCTGCTGGTGCGCGAGGGCGCCCTTGGCCATCTGCTGCACCCATCCGAAGCGTCTGGCCGCCTGCCCGAAGCGGATCGGCATCAGGCGCCACCTCTGCCTAAGCGTCGAATTCGATGACGAGTGCGGATGCTCGCCTGACCAGTCCGCGGCTTTGCCACGCTGCAAAACTCGAAGGTACTTATCCAGAATCCCGTCCAGCTGCTGGGTCTGGGCCCTCGGAAACACGAAAGGTTCGTTCGCGGATAAGGCGGCTTCCACCACGTGGCCCCTAAAGGCCAGGATCTTCAGGGATTCACTTGTACGGCTGGCCCAGAACTTACCTAGCTCCCCCCACCCAGCGTGGACAGCTGCGCAGCGATAGCGAAACTCTTCCATACTCGATAGATTCCATGCGTAACGGCAACCCAGGGATCTAGCTTTAGCTCGTGCCTTGCCCATCTTAAACTCGGCCGAGAAGTCTCGGTTCGCTTGATGACTGCGAAGACAAGGAACGGTTTCTCGCTTACTATAGTTCTGAATGAGACCTTTAGCCCCCAGGACCCCATCGAGCACGTCGTCGCTGTGTTTTAGTTTCTCATCGATCTTGGTCTGCGTCGTCTCGTCGATCGGCATCGTATCGAATATATCGTCGGCGTACACCGTCGTCGCCCCACAGCACAGGGAGTTATAGATGCCGCGCCGCAGGTGCGTGGCCGTCTCATTCACCGAACGTTCGTCGGTCCACGATCTCATGGGGCTCTCCATTACCTTCGCGAACACCACGGGCTCCTCACTAGACCCCATAAGTCCCCCTCGTCGGTGTCGAACAGCTAGGTTTCTGGGATCCTGCCAAGGCTGGGTGCCACCCGTCTCGAAGATCATCACGATCCCTGAAGTCTGAGATCTGGAATGCATCAACGCTGCGTCGGGATGGGTGAAGAGCTCATTGATCGCCTCAGTCCTCGCTCGCGCCGTGGTGGAGGCACAGGCATTCGACATATCATGCAAGTGGTTCAGGTGTGCAATACGATAGGTACGATAGAAATGGCCCATGCACATCTGCACTGCGATCGCGTCCTCCCTCCTACGTCGGGGAAGAAAACCATGAAACCCAGCCGGCCAGTGGACCCCTTTTTTGTACAAGTTGTGCTTCAGCAGCCCCCCGTAGAAGCATTTCCAGTATGGGCACATCACGTTAATCAGACGTTTCCCCAGCGCCCCCACCTTCCCGTTGCGCTTCGCAATCGAGACCCCCCAGGCCAAATTCCCCAATATGGGTGTCGCTTCAGTCGCCTACATAAGATATGAAGATCCTCGAGAAGTCGGGCTGAGGTCGTGGATCCCGTCTGAGATATTGGGGTAGCTCCAAGTCCTAAGTACTCTTGAGGTCCCACTGAGAGATACTTGGGGTCTGCGGCCATCAAGTGCAATTCCAGCGGGAAGCTCCACGGGGGGGCAGCTCGCCGTTTGGCACTTCGTCGAAGTCGTCGTAATGTCGCCTGAAAATCCTGTCGCCCCTGGAGATCGGTTCGCTCGAGCTCGTCCTAGTCCGTCGATGCTGCTGGCACTTGCGTACTAAAAAACGAATCATTCTATCAACGTCTAATTCAACTGCGTCCATCCCACCACCAACTGCTGGTAGGCTCAACTGCGTCTGCCAGTCAGTTATGCTGTCAAATGTCGACGGCAAGTTATACTTTCGTGTCCGAGGTCCCCCGTGCTGCGCTGCAAGTAGAAATACCAGTCGATGCACATCAGCGCGTTTATGTTGATTATGTGCATCTGCGACTTCTGCCTCCAATCTACGTCGTGAATCGTGCCAAGCTTGTCGACTCTCTTGTCGAAGTGTCTGTTTGATCCCTCGCAGCTCCTCTTTAATCGCATCGGCCCTGGCTTCCAAATCCTCCGACAAAATACTCATAGGCGAAACACTCCTCATTGGTATATGTGATCCTGCGCTGCCCTGGCCGTAGCTCACTAAAGTCATAGGTGAAGTTGCAGTCCCCGCATTCTCACCTGCAGCCCTCCAGCCCGTGGGAGTAGTCGGTAGTCCTGCAGCGATCTCATCATTCCCATTCGCCGTCACTCTGCGTGTGTCAATCTCACTAACTCGATTCAGATGATCCGAAGATGCAGCAGTGTGTTGCCGTGCAACCCAGCGTCGTATCCCCTGCTCTTCGCCCACCCCGCGTAGTTCAACTCGAAGTTCACTCCGTGCTCTAACCAGTTCCAGTCGCCGAGCCCTTAGTGCCGAAACTGCTGGGTCGAGCTCCTTTTGCTTCTGCGCGAAGTGAGCAAGTCCTGTCCTACGAACAATGTCCATCCACCCCTGCCACGCTCGGTCAAGCTCACCCCTTTGTAGGCGTCGTTGCATCTCAGGTGCGTGCTCCTGCATGGCCTTCTCTAAGTCGCCCAGAAACTCCGGCCTACCCACTCCGCGCTGGACTGCGGCCGCGAGTTTGTGGCGATCCCACCGCTCGTCCCTGGCCGATGCTGGTTCGTACTGTTCCGAAATGGTCATCTGCAGCAAGATCAGAACGTGGTCTCTGGGGTTCTGTGACGGGATCAACTGGAGGCGCTTCGCGGGGTTCCATAGTACCTTACAGGCCGATACTTGGTCTCTGAGCCCCTGAGGCATGAAGATGTGGTCGATGGTGGACGCGTGGCCACTGTGTGAATAGTATGTAGGGCCCCCCCTTCGATCCGAGGTAACCGCGTCAAACATCTCCAGAGGGGCCAGCAACTCATCCTGGATCAGATTGCCGATCACGTTCTGCTCCCCCATGTTGTACGGGCCCGCCAGGGGCCGCTCCTGTTCCCACCAAGACGCCGATGCCGAAGGCGAAGAAGTTCGCGAGCCCCCATCTGAGGCCCATCTGTGCATTGAAGTCCCCCGCGAAGATCGGAGTAGACCTGTTGGGCGCTTTCTGGACCTGCTGGATTCCCCATCGGATAACTTGGGTGGACCCCTTCTCCAAAGCCTCACGCTTCTTCGCCGAGGCGTCTCCGATGGGGGGAACGTATAGCAACACCGCGCTCAGGTCGATACTACGATTACGAAGCCGAACCGCTAGACCTCTACCTTGGGCAACCTCTGGGGGGGGGCGTCGATGTTCCTGATATGTTTGGCCCTGAACATGTTTCCCACCAGGATCGTACAGCCCGCCGAACTATTCGAGAAAGGTCCTGCTCTCCATCCTGCGTTCAAGGCGAACGCCCCACCTCCCAACGGCATCCGTGTAACTGCATGGCCTGGTTGAGCTCTCATCCGAGTCCCTGGAAGGAGAACGAGGTCGGCTCGAACCGTTCGCCATATGTCGACCAGCCTCTGTGGTTCCAGTGCCGAGAGTGGGCTGCACAGTACAATCCGCAGCGGTGCGAGCCGCTGCGCCGCCGCCGCCATCCGCTGGCCTAGCGGGCGCACATCGCGCCCAGGCTCGCGTCCGCCAGGCGCGCTGATCCTGGCGGGTGGTGTGCCAGGGAGGAGATGAAGGTACAGTAGAGAGTGGAGGCTGCGCTGGTGCAGAGGTTTCCTCGAGCAGCTAGGGGAGGGGGGGGGGAAGGGGGAGGAGGAGGAGGAGGAGGAGGAGGAGGAGGAGGAGGAGGAGGAGGAGGAGGAGGGGTGGGGAGGGGGAGGAGAGGAGAGGAGGAGGAGGAGGAGGAGGGAGGGAGGAGGAGGAGGAAGGAGGAGGAGGGAGACGAGGAGGAGGAGGGGAGGGGGGGAGGAGGAGGAGGGGGGGGGGAGGGAAGGAGGAGGAGGAGGAGGAGGAGGAGGAGGAGAGGAGGAGGAGGGGGAGGGGGAGGAGGGGGAGGGGCAGGAAGGATGATCGGCTACAGGCGTGCGCCAGGGAAAGAAGGGGGAGGGGACAGCTGGCGCAGCAGCAAAAACAAAAGGACGAGCCCAAATCCGCCCGCCCCAGCAGGAGGCGAGCTGTACCATCCGCGCTCACGAGCGCGCCGGCGGGCTCAGCCTCGCGGTGGCTCACCGCGCTGGGGCGAGCGCCAAGCGCCCAGAGTTCTCCTGATCCATAGCGACCGACGGATCACCGCGCCAGGGCGGGCGCCCAGCGCTCCTTGTGGGCGGCGCTGGCGATGCGGGGGAGGCCGGGGCTCTGTCTCTTGAGATCGGAGGTGCGCTCTGCGGCGTGGGCCCTGAGGGGCTGAGAAGCATCGCGCGGGCTGTCGCCCAGGTCAGTTCGGCTTGCGGGGTCCATCTCGGGGAAATCCTCCTGGGGCCCCTGGTGGCTGACGCTTCCCGCCCTCGGCATGCTCCTGGGCAGCCACTTGGCCGCAGCCCCCAGGGCATCCAATATCATGAGCACATTGAATATGCTCATCAACGTAGCAGCAGCGCAACCGCCGCAGAAAAGAAAAACAAAATTTATATATATATATATATATATATAAAAAAAAAAAAAAAAAAAAAAAAAAAAAAAAAAAAAAAAAAAAAAAAAAAGTTGCCATCCGCCCAGAACTTGTTCAGTGCAGCGTAGACTTGCGGAAACCAAACGCAGCCGCGGGTGTATAGAATGGTTATGGCCTGCAGGACAACGATGAATTTGAACTGGCACCAATCAAGAAACTTCGTCAAGTCCAGCGTGAACTTGTAGGATCCCGAGGTGAAGCAGATGCCAGCCGCGAGTAGGAGTGACATTGCAATAATGTGAAAGGACGCGAGATCTGGACAGTGCAACAGCAATGGGCAAACTGTGACCAACGCCAGCGCATGATGAAGCACACCCAGGATGATGAACATCTGCACAAGGCCTTTCCCAACTCCGCCGAACAGCTTCTTCCCCACCGACTCGAACAGAAACGTGTTGGCGAACATCCTGAACCAATCGTAGACATCCACGGCGACATCCATCAAAATAGCCACCACGAAACAAGCCTGGCTGGTGCTCCGCGATTCTGTCCAGCCGCAGGCCACCACAGGCACAATCATCAGTCCACATATCAGATGGTGAGTGCAGAGTATGATGACGTACGAATAGTACTGCCGCAGCGTGAAGTCGTCGCACGCTGCCTCGGGCACGCCGAAATTCATCATGAGTGATTTCTGAAGCGGACGCGCGCGTGGCCACCACTCCTTCGTCGCAACCCACGGCGTGAGAGACTTCAGAATGGTCTCGAAGACGATGCCGGTGACCAGCGCGCTGGCGGCCACAAACAGCAGCATCCCCTGCGGCCGCAGCAAGAAATCAAAGATCGTCTCTGGCAGCGCCATGGCCGATGAATGAGACTCGGAATAGCGAGCGCGATCAAGCCAGAAACTGCCGAACTTCCGAGTTCAATTAGCTTGAGCCAAAGTAGCTGGACCACCTTACGTTAGCGTTTGAAGGGATGTTGGTGGTGCCAGCATATTGCTTGCTACGCGCAGGCCTACCACGCCTATTAAAAAATCATGCAAAAATGCACTTATCCTCTAAATCTGAAGCACGCGCAGGTGCGGCGACGACGCGCGATGGTTTCGCGCAGAATTGCCCCCCCAATGCGCACTGCCATCAGCGAGGGAGGTGCCGAGCAGGCAAGCCAGGCCCCGGGGGTCGCTCCCCGCCCCGAGCGCCCTAAGGCCGCGACCGCGGTCGAGCCGCAGATCGCGCGCGCGACGCGAAGGCCCGGAACCCTGAAGACGCCGGGGCGCCCGCAGCAGATGACCTGACCAGAGCACGGCGAGCCCCCGTCGCCAAAAGCACGGCCTCGATGAGGAACTTGCGGCGGCGGCGCAGGCGAAGCGCGACCTCCAGCTCGCAGCGGCGAAGGAGAAAAGTCTGCGATCACCTGATGGTCGATAACGACGAGAGCTGGTCAGGCAGACCCCCAAAAGCAAGGGGGTCGCGCAGCTGGCCGAAAGCGCCTCCACACTTGGCGCCAGGGGTCCAGCTCGATTAAACTAGACGCCGTCCGCGACGGCCCAATCAGAGCCCAATCGCACCAATGCTGAAGCGTCGATGGCACGGGCTGCAGCGCCATCACCATCTGCGGGAGCAGCGGATCATGACGCTGCCTGATGCGATGGGAAGGTCGGCGGCCATCATCATTTCCGCACCCGCTGCAACCGCCACCGGCAAGAATGAAGCGGCGGCGACGCCACTGTCTACCGACTGTTCTGGCGTGACCGTTTCCGCAATGCGCGACAGACTCCGCGCAGTCCGCTACTACCACTCATATCACCACTGCTGATACTACTCCCACTACTACTACTACTACTACTACTACTACTACTACTACTACTACTACTACTACTACTACTACGACGACGACGACTACGACTACGACTACGACTACGACTACGACTACTACTACTACTACTACTACTACTACTACTACTACTACTACTACTACTACTACTACTACTACTACTACTGGCGGTCTCGTGCACCACATCACCACGGCTCAACCACCTTGGGAAGAGCGTCCTTGTGGCTGCCTCATTTCCAGTATGTAGCGGGCACCTCTTCTGGGTGAAAGGGCGGGTCCGACGTGCATGCAGCGGCGGGCGCTTATCCGAGGGCAGCTGGCCCCTACGGCCCAAAGTAAAGCGACAGCGGCGGTGCAGCAGCACACGGGGCGACCCCAGCACCGCCATCGAGGCCAACAAGCGCAGAAGGCGCGAGAGGAGGCCAGGATGGCAAGCCAAAATGGCTAGGCGCCCGGCGGCGTCGCGACAGCACACGGGGCGCCCCCAGCACCGCCAGCGAGGCTTACGAGCGCAAGTAGGCGCGAGAGAGAGGCCAAGATGGCAAGCCAATTGGCAAGCCAGAGTGGCTAGGCGCACAGATGACCGCGCGCAGAGCGGAGGCTAAAGCAACAGGGGCCGCGGCGCGAGGGGGGTACCACTGTGGGCACACCGCGCTCGCGGGTAAGGCGGCGTTGCTACAGCTGGGGCGCAAGCAGACCTACAGGCTCAGCACCTCTGAGAGTGGCAGACACGAGATCTTGGCATGGACTCACGTAGCCTCCCCGAGGGCTTAGAAGTATCCGATGCTGTGGGCCTGCTGGGTTTCATCATTCAAGCGGACTGGCCTGCTCCCTGCGCAATGGCTGCAAAGACCTGCGACGGCAGCGCTTACGCTTCTCCCCCGAGGTCGCCACTGCCGCCCGCCTGCCCTGAGGGCCCAAAGATATGGCGCTCGAGATCTCCGCCGAGGGCCACGTTCAGGGCGGCAACATTTGGGATCTGCTGCGGGAGCGGGCCCGTCGGCGGCGGCGGGTCCGTCGGCGGCGGCGGCGCCACAGGGGGCGCCGTCAGCGGCGGCGGCGGCGGGGACATGATGGCCGCTGGCGGGGCCCCAGCAGACGGTGGCGGCGGGTCCTGGCTGCCGCGGGCCACGCCAGCTGGAGGGGCCCCGGCGGCGCGGGCGGGGGCGGCACGCGGGGCGACCCCTGTACCACCCCCGCCGCCCGCGAGGCTGCCCCCCCGCAGGTTGCGGCGGCGCTCGTAGAGCGCCAGCTCCCTGCACGCCGTCTCCAGGCGCTCCCTCTTGGCCTTATTCCGCTGCTTCTTGGCGTAGCCCGCCCACTCTGGGTCGTTCAGTCCCCAGGCGACCTGCGCGCGCAGGTCGGCCCACTTGAACTCGGTCAGGCTCTCCCAGGAGAGCCCCCCACACTAGCACATAGTGGCCCTCCCACTGCGGCTGGTGTGGAGCGTAGCGCTTGAAGACGGCGCCCACCGCCAGCGGCTCGACCTTGGGCAGGTGCTTCAGGAGGTCCACAGCGCTGAACACCGCCATCCCCTCCTTCTTGAGCTTGTCGTAGCGCAGCAGGGCCTTCAAGTCGCGGATGTCCTCCTCGGGGTGTTCCGCGTGCATGTAGTGGGCCCGTGGCGGGTTCTGCTCTTCCTCTATCAACTCGACGCAGACGCCGTAGGAGGTCGCGTAGCGCGCACCACAATGGCAGCACCAGCGCTGGCCTGTCTCCCCCGCCGCCTCCTGCGCGCAGGTGAGCAGTTGCGTCCAGCGATCCGAGCGGACCACCGAGCAGCATCCCCTGGGATTGTCCCAGGTCTCGTTGGCCGAGCACTTGTAGTACATGTTGAACGTGAAGCCCTTGCCACGGTAGAACTGGTCCGTGTAGTCGCCCATGCGCGCGTCGGTAGGCCTCCTGCGCCATGGCGTTGCCCTGGCACTCCCCCTTCCAGGCACGCTTGCGTCCCAGGTGTGCGTCCGCGACCCCCGAGGCTTCCAGGAGGCCCTTTTTCAGCCTTCCCACATCATCCTCTGCCTCCTCATTCAGCGCGTCGAGCCACTTCTGGACCCCGCCCTGCGCCTCAGCGCCCCTCACCATGTCCTCCTTCTTCTCCAGGATGGGCCCCAGGCCGCCCAGCATGCGGGCGCGCATGGTCTCGAATTCGAGGACGCCATAGGCCCGCGCCATACGCTTCAGCGATTTCTTGGAGAGGCCGAGCCGCAGCAGGGGCTCGATATCCGTGACCTCCTCCACGGTCTTGACGTCGGTCAGCTGGCGCCCCTGGCCCTCAGCATCGCTGTCGGACGGGGGGTCGCTCTCATCGCCACGGGGAGGGCCTGCGGGGCCAGGTCCATCCTCGAGGGGTGGAGGTGGCGCGCGGGGCGGCCCCGGCACCACCCCCGCCGCCATTGCCATCGGGCGACCGACCTCCTCCGCCACCGTTTCCGTGGCTGGGGGGGCGCCCATGCTCTCGGGATCGATGCCCACCCCTACGCCCTCCGTGGACCTCCGCAGGGCAAGCAAGCCTTCCTCGGAGAGCGCGAACCCCACCAGCACGTCCATGCCCTCCTTGATGTGGTCGAAGCTCGCGCGGAACTTCGCCACTCGCTTGGCGGCGTGGTCGATGGACCCTGCACCCTTGTTCAGGCGCGCTGCGCGCGTCACGGCCTCGTGCTCGGTGATGTTCTGCGTCGCCGCCACGCAGCGCGAGCACGTGTATAGCTTGTACTGGCCCTGAGCACCCTTCCGCACCTCGGGGCATTGCCGGTTGCGCCCTGAAGCCTCAGCGTAGCGGCGCATCTCACCACAACTGAGCTCGCCCACGTACTCCACCATCATGATCTTCCAGTCGCCCAGCTCTGTGCACACCCGACACCAGCCCAGGCGCTTCGGCGGGACCCAGTACGCACCCATGCAGTGGACGTAGCCCGCCTCGGCGTAGTCCTCGCCCGCCATCATCTCAGCGCCCTCGAGCGCGGCAGGTGCGCCGCCGCTCGGTGGGGGGGGGGGCCTGGCCGTAGGCGGCCTCGTTGCTGCGTCGGCGGTGGCGTTTGCCTCCATGACCGCTGAGGGCGCCCGTGGTCGCTGCACTCGGGGCCTCGCTGGCGGTCTCATCGTCCACGGAGCGGCCGCCATCGGCGTCGCTGCGTGCACCTCGGCCGCCGCGGCCGCCCACGGCCTGCCCCCGCAGCTGGAGGTTGTGGAGCGCGAGGGCGATCGCGTCCAACCCGCGGCGCTGCTCCGTGGCGAAGTTGGAGTAGGTGGCCACCGCTGCCAGGGCAGCCCTCGTCACTGGCACCACCGCCGACGCGGGCATCGCGGAGGCCTCAGCAGGCGCCTCGGCCGCCGCCGCGGGGCCTCCGCCCGAGGCACCTTCGGAGGCAGCGGCACTGGGGGCGGCCCCCGTACCGCTGCCTCCGTCGGCGCCCTCGGCAGGCGTCACTGATCCCGCGGGCAGCGTCGGCGCCGTCCGAAAGGTCGCCGCCCCAGACATCACGTCGAACCCCTCGCCCGAGACATCTTCGCTCTCCGACGCGCTCACCTGCTGGCCAGGGCGCTGCGCAGGCCCCGCTTTGGAAGTGGGCGCGTCGGCCGCGGTCGCACCGCTGGCCTTCGCGCGCGCCTCGGCCTTCGCCTTAGCCTTCGCCGCCAACGCCTCGCGAAGAGGCGCCGCATCGTGACTGGGCGAGTCGGCGCGCGCCACAGCAGGCCACGGCATCGGCGCGGGCTTCGAGAACTTGGGCGCCATCGCTCGGTCGGAAGGATGGCGCGGGAGATGCAGCTCAAGAGATCGCGCGAGACGAGATCTCATGAGCCAAACAGCTGCCGAGGAAGCGAGGGGACGGGGAGAGGCTGTACACCGAACCAAAATGGGGCGGCCGACTGCCAAGGCGGGGCAAATGCAAAACATGAAGACTAAAGGCTACAACCATCGGCTCCAGGCGCGTGGGAACCGATCCTTGTGCAGGCGGAAAACGACCCGACCCCCGTTCGGGGCCCTGGACGGGCAGGAGAGGGGAAGGGGGGCGAGGAAACCACGTCGCGGGCGGGCGACAAAGCGGACTGCGGGCCGCCGACGGTCCCAGGACCCGCGGGGCGACCCCGATCTCGAACGCCTCTTGACGCCTCTTTAACAAGTGGTCTCGAGCAAGTGCTGCTGGCGGCATGAAGGCCCAGCACGGGTGGGTTGACAGAGCAGCCCAAGACTAAGAGCACAACGAATATGGCATGGCGGGAGCACGACGCGCACAAGGCAAGGTAGCTGCGCAACGCGGCGCGTAGGACAGACATGACACAGCAAGAGCGCATCATGCACACTATAAGGGAACTGAACAGTACCGTGCACACTGCTGACGTGACCAACTTTTTACGACTGATCAGGGCAGCAGGAAGGCGAGGGGGAAGGGGGGGGGTCAGGGAGCACACGCAAATGGGAGAGAGCCGCGTCTAGTCAAGACCGGACGCTCGGGGCGGCCCCGGCATCCAGCCCGACTACGTCCTCCGTCGCCAGGGCGACCTGCTCAGCGATTTGGCCCTGCAGGGCGCCGGCCACTGCCGAGCGCAGGGATGAGCGCGCTGCGGGCCGTTCGGCCTTGGGCGATTCCCCCGCGGCACGGCGCAGCCACGTCTCCGCCTCTGCACCCCAGCGGCCATTGACATCGAGAACAAAGGGCACCAGGCCAGAAAATGGGCACCTACGGTGCTTCACTTTCTCTCTGCGCTGCAGGGATGCCTGGCGCGGCCGCCCCGTCTGGGCCACGGCCACCTCGTCCACCAAGCTGACGTCGAGA